TGATCGGAAGGTGGGTCCCTTCCGCGGCCAAGCTTTTCTAAAATCCTGGAGATGACACGTGGCGATTGTATCGGATACTTATGAGAGGGTGGCAGCTGAATGAATTGTTGCTCTGAGAAACAAGGCATCCAGCGCAATCTTGCAACGCATCGGCCGTAAGTCGGGAAGCGACGAGAAAGCGACACGGACCTCTGCGACTGAAAGAAGCTCAAGGATTGCACAGCTTCCGTGGAGACAATCGAGCCCCAAACGCTTCAATGGAGCTGCCCTGTGATGTGTCCGAAACACGCCCCTTTGACCAGGCGAGAGAAGCAGCCGTCGACTGACAGCCCCAATCAAGGAGGTCCGAATGCTGCCTTTGGGTGTCCCTCCAGTTGTTACTTCATTTGCCTGCCCTTTCTCTATTACAAGTCTTGTTTCGGCTACGTTTTGATCGTCGTAATGCTGATCCCAGAAAGCTTTGTGTGTAAGACTTCTGGGAATTTCGTTCGACACAACGTACGGGCTTCTCGAAACTTTCCCCCCCTGCCGATGAGCAGATTGCGAATTACCTGGCAAAAGTTTTTTTGATGCCAACACCCCTTGCGATTTGCAACATAAGCAGGACGTGGTCAGGCCACTTGGTAGCTGTTCAAAGGCCCGAGTAGGAGAGTGGATGCACTAAGCTCAACTGAGAGTTTTCAACCGACACTCTTCAACCAAGGTATTTCAGTCCGCTTGACAAGAGGCGTCTTCGGCTTCTCATTGTTTGGGCGACGCGCATGATCAGAGTCCACATCTGCACGCGCATGACCGCAGATGAAAGGCAAGCTCAAAGCATTGAATTTAACGTCATCCGTTCTTTCTGTCAGGAACTCGGAGGGTGGCAAAGGCGCTCGTAGCTTTGAAAGGGACGGGGCTGCGGAGGACCAACAGGGCGCGAAACAACCGTTTAAAGTTTGATCTTGAGCGTCAAATCCATTGTAAGATCCGCTACGATCCTGTCCACGTCTCTAGTTGGCTGATTTTGAGGAGCATGCCAGACGAACAAAGTCGCAAGACCGCTGGCAATCTTAGAAGCACCATGCGCTTCATCGAACTCAAGGCCTTCCCTCGAGGTTTTCTGTTGGTGCACTGCCATAATCAGTTGCCTGCACGCAGCTCTTTCCAGGTGTCAATCTTCTGGTTGCTAGCATATTTGTGATAAGAAATGCTGATGCGGTGACGTTGACAGCCTGCGCAGATATGACTCGTTTGGCGAAGCTCTTGGTAGCATGATACCTGCTCAAGTCAAATGATTCATTGTGACAGTCAGTGGTACTAATGTTCGGGCCCTCTTCAAGCGTGATTGCGTCTAACTAGACAGGAAGAGAGGCCGCTACGCACTGATATCGAGGCTTTCACGTGCAGGGTGTCAGGCGGACCGTATCTTCGTTTGTTGGAAAGATACAGGTCGGTCTCTAAAACATCGCCCTCGGAGACTGCGGGTCTGGCCCATCCTCACCGTTCAAACGCAACTCTCCAGGTGAGCCGTTCCGCGAACCGGACCGATATCAACCGAATCGATGACGTCAGAATGGTCGTGCTGAAGTCTGTCCTGTGCCTATGTCAGTGGGCCTTCAAGACGGACCCCGAAGCCATTCAAATTCAGCACCGGGGGCCCTCTTCTTCCGGTTGCGAAGGTCTCAATTTGCCATTCCGGCACTCCGTTTCCAGACGAGCGTCGTGGCGGACGGAATGCTGACCCGGAACGCTTTCTGATCTGCTTCCGTGGGTTTCGTTTTGCGCTCTTTCTCCGACGGAGAACTGGCGCCAATACAGAGCGTCACGGAACTACGCAACTCAGCCCTCGACATGGTTACCTTCATTGGCAGCTCTTCTTCCAACGTTTGTGTGGGCTACCGTTAATGGAATGTTAATCATCGTTGGTATGAGTCGGAACACCAACAATGTGCACCGAAAATTATAGAGCTCTTGACCTTGCCCAATTGTCCAATGTGTCCATCTCAATCCTTTGGTATGGAGTTCTGGCGACCGCCGATCTTTCCAACCCCTTCATTCCTGTCAATTCGACAGCACCATATTCATGGAAGCCTCCTTTCAATACTTGCAGGATTGCGGGACTGATACGGAAGCCTCAGTTAAACTTTCCTGTGGACGGCCTGACAAAGCCCTCTTGTCGCAAAGAAGCAGGAGTCGTCCATAAAATATATCGAGGTGGGAACCGTCGGCACTGCCGGCTGTCAAAATCCGCGGAGTTTATTAGTCAGTGTGCACCTTCTCAAGAACAGGAATTTGATTGGGCGTGTCTGGACATTCGTCATCTCGTCATAATAGAAGATCGTGGATGATTCCCTGCAAAATTCAGCGGAACTGCACCGGAAAGTCTTTCTCGATCAAGCCATTCGGTTAGCTCTTGAGTTTCAAAAGCGGTATTATCGAGTGTGATCCTGCGGACTGACCGCAGAAGGACCCGGCAGCCAGTCATTAACTTTGCATGCAGTAATGGGATCATGTCTCGAGGTCCGCATGGTCAACGATGAGGATTTACTGTAACGTCATGTGTGATACGTCCTACAAGCAGGCTACTTACTTCGAACTGCGCTTTATCTTACCTAAAAGCCTGTCGTTCTTGCGCAGTGGCAGTGCAACTGTCAGAGCGCCGTTGTCACGGCTATGATGTTAATTGTGCCGCGCTCGATTGTTTGATCAATTGCACATTGCTTATATGCACGAAGAATATCGTTCGGAAAAGCACAGGCTGTATGTAATTACCGGGCTCAGCTAGCTTTGCAACGGTCATGGTCATGAGCCGCTCATGACGTATCAATCGCGGCAATTTCTAGTTTTCAACGAGACATGTCAGTGCATATGAGATCGATATGCCAGTGTCTGGACTAAGTGACGAGCCTTCTAACTTAAGTTCGCTAGGCTTAAAGCAGGCGCGCGCGCCCGATTCGCGAATCGTCTCGAGCCTGGACGTACGCGGTCATATGCATATTTCATGCAACGACTTGGGAAGGTTATCGGATCAACTCTGCGGCGATGAGTTATCGGATCAACTCTGCGGCGATGAGTCCATGCACTATCCATGCACTATGGACCCTCGAGGAGTTTTTAACGGTACGTTCTTGCAACGGACTCAAGGCGTGGTGAGAACTGAGTCATGACTCCGACTCCGACTCCGACTCCGAGTAGGGGTTTTGGTTTACGGCGTAACAGAGGCTGACCGTCATGTAATACGGCGTAAATTACGGTTGCTTTACGGTACGCCGTCATTTTACGGTCTGAGCTCCAATCTGGTAAAGCAAAGAAAACGTAACGCAAAGGGCAACTATTAACAGGCATTACCGCAAGTGAAAAAAAAACATATATACGGCAAATGTGTATCATATCCCGCCATAACGCAACAGAATATATGTGCAGATTACAGGAATATTGATTAAAAAGCATAATATTGGTAAAAGGAGATTCCAACAACCGAGCTCTAACCGGACAAAAGTTTGCTTTACGCTTTACAATTACGTCTTACCACTAGTGAAGCAAAATTCAGACCGTCATGACACCGTAAGGAAACGACCGTAATTTTAATGCGTTACACGGGGTCAACCGTAACTACGGCGTAATTACGACAGTAATTACGGCGACCGTAATCAGACCGTAATGTAAACCCAAAAGCCCTTGTCATGAGCAGTGCAATATATGGTCTGGCTGTAATATAGTACATGCGCACACAATCGAATGCATGTTTTGTTTCTATGTATTTGTCTTACAGCCCCTCAATGCACTGGTGGCGCGCAAAACAAGCACTCCAAGACTTCAGCAAGCAGCCGGCCCCTGACCTAGCCCGTAGTCAACTCCCCTAGTTTGATTGATTGTTTACAGTCCGTTCGGGGCCACGACTGGCCTAGTGGACTATCCTATCAAAGCTAGCCTACTATTGTTGTCCTCCTCTTTGTGCTCAATTGAATGTACTTAGCAACGGAGAGTTGTTCTCTGAAATTGAGAAAGTCTCCTAAGTTCTGGCTAGCATTAGCTTGAAAAAGGTGTCTATATTGGAGCCTTAAATCTCGATATGCCTCACAATGAAACAAAAAGTGAGCCTCGTCCTCAACTTGATTGCACTTACAGACTTGGCACAATCTATCTTCTTGTACTACTCCATGCCAACTCCATGTTAACTTCCCGCTGATCACGAGTGGAGGGGGAGCCAGTACTTTTGACTTAGTCGGCCCGGTTGTGACTTCTTCGGAAGCACCCCCTATAGTACATGGGTAGGAGGCCCTCTTCCTCCCCTCCCGTTGACGCGATTAGTGCAGATTCTCAGCAATATAGAACTTCATATATACATTGAACATGCACGTCATAAAAAAGTTGATAGGCGATGGTTCAATGAATTGACGTTGGTGCTGTTGCTAGGAATCGAACGCTTGATCGTTAGGTGAGGACCCGTAGATAAATCCGTCCAACCACATGTACACTATTTCTTCGCCCTCTGGGCTATGGGGCTATACCGAAAGAAACCATCATAATGTAGTGGCAGTATACGGCGGACTCGATCGACCCACGCTAGCTTTCAAATTTTCATGCGTACCGTCAGCTAGCGGGGCGTGGGCATGGGTCGGACGTACTGCCCGGGTCAATCTCAAACTAAAGCTGATGCTATATTTGTATATAGCTAATCAAAGCTCCATCTAATGCTAAAGTACGTGCTTGACGCTGAAACCTTCAATCCAAAAGGAGTTCAAGATCCCTCTGTTGTTCGGTCATGCCGTAGTTCGCCCGTTCATGTTCCAACATGCAAGCAGTTCCAATGGTCCAGGTTACATTGTGCACAGAAGGCTCAAGGCTATATAATACTTCAGGAACGCATTAGCTAGGGCTCTGGCTCCATAATCAGTCTCTTATAAGCGTACATACACATGCTCGGGGCGAACTTCTACAGCCCGCTTCGCAGACATATTCTTACTGTTTTGAGGCCGGAAGTCAACAGATCTCAAAAACGTCAACAGCTTCTGTAGCTATCGCGGTTCTATTGCCCCGTGCGCGGCAGCTTGTAACATGGGCGACCTGCAAGAAAGAAGTTTACAGACTGCATGGGTGCCAGTACAAGAAGGAGTCCGCCTCAGGGACTGATCCGGAACAGCAAATAAACCGCTCAGGGGTCCGCAAATGGAAGCGCTGATGGTCTTCAAACGCAAGGTAGCCTGCATTCTTGCTTTGGAAACTTCTTTCACGGCACCCAAATGATCTGGGACGACGCCGTGAGAGCGAGCTTGGCTTCAGCGTTGATGTGAAGTACTCTCTACCGAGGACACGTCTGTTACATCTCATCTGCTTTTGTACATTAGCGGGTTGGGATAATATGGATGCATTCAAAGACGGTATTGGATCTTCGAAATGCCCCCAAAAACGCCCCGAGCAAGCGGAGACGGTGTTAAAAAACAGCGTACATGCTCGAACCAGACTTCAACGAAGACGAGTGCTTTAAATTCTCCACCTTTAGCAAGATATTATAACCAGTCTAGACATTGACAAAGCTTGACGTCAGTTTATCAACCAAACCTGTCCTGCGCTTCTCGTGCTAGTCAATTACCGCCGCCTTCCAAGTCATTTTCGCTCCTCCAAATCTTCAATCCCAGAGCGCCACGTGGGCCTCACCTCTCGCAACCGCCAAAGTCATTGCCACGTGTCCTATCCAGGGAACTACTCCAGGCCAAGCTTCCCCTACGCGTCATATCTCTCGACAGCATCGCTTCGCGCCGCGCCCTCGGTCCCTGTTCGACCGAGACCCCGTGCCTCAGAGCCTCCCACCAAGACGTCAGGCTGAGGTGGCTGCTGACGTCCCTGCTGACGTGAGCCCCAATGTCCGTCGAGCTTCCCGGGCGGCGCCCTTGTGGGGGATCTCGCCCCGCCCCCGTCTGCTGCTCTGAGGTCGGTAAGGGTCGCGTCCCAAGCCGACCAAACGGGTGAGCGCAGCTGTCGCCAACCGGGGAGTCACCCCGGGCGGAGCCGCCAGTGGCGCCGCCCCGTGCCTGAACAAAAGCAGTTTGGTAATCAGACTTGGGTGAGAAATTGGATTCGGAACAATGACTCATACTTCGGATTCATGTTCGGATTGGGAGTCGGACAAAGCTCCCAAGATGCTACGACCCGGATACTGTGGAGCGTACAAACTGTAGAACCGGAGGTCTGGTCGGGGATGCAAGGAAAGCACCGGGTTCTACAACAGTCAAGGAGCTGGTTAGGGAATAAAGCTTCTTAACAATCCTGTTTGATACAGATTTGCAACCTCGAAGGTACGTAGAATGGCTTGTACCAGCACAGACTCGGACGGGTGATTTTGACCGCCAGTTCGGATTGTTGGGATATAAAAATCGTTGAACTTCAGAGCGCGGAGCCTTTGTGTTGTTGTACTCGTCACAATCGACGGAAGCCACCGACGTCGAAGTTGCCAGATAGTTAATCGTCACGCTTCACAGATTATATGAGTCACCTTACCGTCAGAGGACGATTCATGTTGTTATAATCAAAAACGAGTGCAAGCTAGACCTCCCAATAATCTCTGCCAAAAGGTTTCGCAGACGAAATGACGCAACCCAAATAACACAAAAGCTCCAAAACGTCAACAGGCTTACCGCCCAGACAAGATACCATTGGCATTCTGTAGGCCAGTATTTCAACTTGAGCAAGAGGACGCCCACTTACTGAGCTCCAAAACCTGCGACATGCTGCGTCAAAGTGGCGCCACGTGGGTCTGGTGTTGGGGGCCGAAGCTGCATACGCACGGGTGGAATCGTGTGCATGACGATGTAACGCGCCCTGCAGAGAGAGCCCAACGTATGTAGGTCATAACGTTAACGTAGATCATCACGACAAGATCAAGCTGGCCACACCTGTTGCCACGAGCGCCGCACTATCTGAGAACCCGAAGTGCTAGCCGAAGCGGTAGATGTACCAGGACAATATGCTGTGGTTGCCTCGTATGCAAATCACTGATGCTGCCGTCAGATGCTACGAACTCAGTCGTCGTCTGGGTGTGACCAATACAAAGTCAGAACAATCCGAAATGGGCCTACACAGAAACTGTTTCCAATTCAAGAGCCCTGGGCACTACAGTTTACGGTTTGACATGGGGGAAAAACGGCCCGTCTCGAATGGGAAGTCCGCGCAGCAGTTTGCAAACATTTCAATGAGCACCCTCTCTACATGGCAATCAGTCGGCACAGGTTTCAAAGCAATCTAAAAAGGTCAACGGCCAGATCTTTTCCGCTCGGCTCTCTCTTCCCATTCGGAGGTGTCCAGAACCTTTAATTTGCCTGCGCTTTTGCCCGGTCAGTGTGTGACATCAAAGTCAAGAGTCGCAAAAGGAAAGAGCGAGAGTAAAGATACGGAAAACAAAACGATCACGGCGGAGGATTGCGACCAGAGCCAGTGCGGTCCCCACAAACCGTACCCTTGAGAGAACCTTGCTCCGAGACAGGGTCGCTTCGTAGAGTTGGCGCTCTTTTTAAGAGATTGCTCACCTCGCTTTCGCGCCTTCCGGCCGCATTCCGCCTCTCAAACCGGCTTCCGCCTGCGCAAAGCGCTGCAGGACCGGAGTCCTAAGCTTGCAGCGAAACGAGTGCAGATTCCGTTCTCGTGCACTTTCGCCCCTCCACCCCTCCCGCCGATATCATGACCCGAGCCGGATTCGCAGCCCTCGAGAGTCCGACCTGGAGAAAGTCCGATTGCTGGTGAGGCGCGCTGTGATCGGAACCAGAGATGAAACGGACGATGGACTTACACGTTCTGTACCTTACATGTGTCGAAGCCCCACGCGACTACAAGCCGGTTTAAGGTACTGAAACACAGGAAGCCCCAAAAGTGTTTCTCGAATGCCGGATACAAGATGCATGAGGGGTTCCGATCGCTGGCCGTGGATCACGGGCTAGGCCAGTTTCAGCGCTGAGTCCGCCCGAGGAGGGGAACCGAGGCGGCATCACTTTTGAGCCGCAGACTTCAAGGGCCGGCGTGTACGGACCTCTAACTCTGAGGGACATTCTGCGGGGCTGGAACATCCTCCAAGTCTAATTGTATGCCTATTGCCTTATAAGGCCCGGTCTCTCAAAGCACAAAACGCAAAACGTCGACGGCACTTTCCACGAAGATGGACACGCCCATCCGTACTACGACGTCGATTGCAGTCCTCTGCAGGATCAGCCACATCATACTTACAGCCTTGGCCAGCCTCCGGCAGTAAATACCGCAAAATACTGAATCATGAACAGAAACCTACTTGCCCAAGCAGCACCGGCCCTCTCGAACGTTGTGAATGGACGTCGTGTCTCGGCGACCCGTAAGCGAGCGTGGCCGCGTTGTGGTCGCCTCATCTTCCCGGTGGCAGGATGCATCGGTGTCGTCGCTCATGCTTCTCGCCCTGAAAAATGAATTGCACCGCCGATTGACTCGTGAGCTTTGAAGCCGGTTCTCGTGATTGGACTCGAGACCCAATCAAAACCGCTGCCAAGCAAAGCAACGGGCGGGCGCCCTTTGGTTGCGGCAACAGATGAGAACGGCTGATTGTCGGCGCTTTGCTTTATCAACGCCCCGACGAATATCGACAGGCTCCTCTTCCAAGGCCACTTGCACACGGCAAAGAGGCAAGCGAGCAGGCGACTGAGTGGTTTGAATCGGACTACTTCCAAGCTTCGAAGCACGATGCTTGATGCATAGGGATTGACCATCTCACTCTGTTTTCCACCCTTTCTTGAGGCTCCGCATGATCAGGGACAAAGAGACAGACAGGGGAACTCGTACGTTCTCCGAACAAGAACTGGTCGGGACCTTACCTCTTCCAAAGCTTCTATCTATCCCAGCGTCGTCGCCCCGAGCTGCCACGTGTCTGCTTGCGAGGCAATTCTTTTCGCGCTCCAAGCTCTGTCCCCAGGTTTGCGCTATGATGTTGATCTCGTCAAGTCTGTGTTCCTGCTCGTCTGAGGAAGAAGAACGTCCGGGTTGTTTTAGTGTCGAACTGATGGTTGGACAAGTGGTCGAAGAGACGCGAGCCGGTCGGTTGTTCCAACAGCAAAGTGCAGAAGCAAAACGAGGCACACTGAACCATGCTGCAACTAACTTAATAAACGTGCCTAAAGAACCAATCAACCACGAATATCTGCTGGCATCCTCTCTTGAGCCAGCAGTGTTCGTCCAGTAAAACCGAACACAGAGCTGAAGAAGCAACCACTGAGCAGCTCTGATGCTCTCTCATTATCCGTCACGTGATAGACACCTGGCATATGAGACCGTATCAGAAGGCAGAGGGCGTCGAAAGGAACTGAAAAGATTGTGATCGATCTGGCAACAAAGGGTCCTGCTAAAGGGTCAATAGAGCAAGACAAGGCTGATAGACAAAGATTCGCTCCAAGAGCTCGCTTCATTTTCGAAGTTCTTAACGGCTCTCACACTCTACCCTGCAATCACTTCCGGGTCTCTCTTACACGTACCTGGATTTTCCGCCCCCCCTCATACGCCCTATTCCGCTGCCCCCCTCCTTGCCGGGCCCTCGTTGCGGGAGCCGTGTTCGCCCCTCTTATTATCTGCTCTCGGTTTCGTGCTTCTTACTCTTTACCCTGGATGATTTTGCTCCGCAACAGGCACCGTCTGGCTTTTTCAAAAGCCACCACCCGTTCCGGCACTTCGCTGGCCCCGAACAAACCGCGTCCAGCTTCTGTTACTCTCTGAATCGCCATTTCCGGAATCCTGACTGTGGTTGGCGGAGTCTTGGCTATTGCAGTAAGCTTTGGCACAGCGTTTCTAGCTGCACCACTCGTCCCTGGCTCTTCTAAACCCCCTGCTCCGTTATGTCTAGCTCGCCTCCAAACTATTGCAGCAACAGGGACGACCTTTCAAAAGCCACATCAAATCGGAAGCTCCCACGTCTTCGTTAGGTTTCAGCATATTTCAGGACTCTACATCATGTGCATGAGCTCTTACTCGGCAACAGCACCGTCAGTTGCTACGAACTCAGTCAAAAACGTTCGGAGCTCTTCCCTCTCATTCTGCGAATGCAACCCTCTGTCAAGGGCATCGACCCCGCCCTCGTCCAGCAACGCCTCCACCTCTTCTACACACCCGGGAGTGTCCTTGATTGTGCACAAGTTCCCCTCATCTTGCGCCAGCCGGTGCAGAACCCTGAGACAAGCCAAACAGTCTAGCCCCGCGAGCAGGTTATGGAACACCCCAGGAACTTTCGCTATCGCTATACGAGCCTCACCATCGTGCGTCACTTGCAGTAAGGCAACCGCCCCCACCTGCTGCAGGTGGGGTGGAAATTTCAGAACTGCAACCAACGCCTCCAAAAGTCCTGGCACATCAGCCCAAGCCTTTCTATGAGCTGTTAGAAGGGCCCCAACCAGCTTCAGCGCGGTCCACTGGGAGAGCCCGTTTCCATTCACCATCAAGTCCAACTGCTGCTGCAAATATGTCTCAACTCTGCCCATCGCAGACCCCTTTGTGCCGTCCACCTTCAGCTGCAACAGAATGCTTGCTGCTGCCGCCTGCACTTTGATGGAGCTTTCCATACTCAGAAAGCTGGCCAACTTCTCAAGAGTAAACCCAGATTTCGCAAGTGCCTCCCTGACCCCTTGCTGCTGTACAAAGTTCAAGCAGAACCTCGGCAACCCTTTCCGGAATGAGGTCAACGGCTAACGCAGTCACTAAATCATCCAGAAGCCATGGCATGTCCCCGGCAATCTCCCTAACTTCGTCGCTTTGAGTCAGCTTGGCGAGCAACCTTATTGCAATTACCTTCGTTTCCACAGTCCTCGTGCTGTTATTCAGAAGGGCCCCTAGCTGCGCGAGGGCCCCTGGTACGTGAGCGATGAGTCTCGCCACCTCCGGTGAGAAAGCCAGATTGTCGAGAGTTTGCAGTGCATCTGATCTTCTTCCAGCGGAGACCTCCCCGCAGCAGGAAAAGCCCACCAACATCTCGGCACTATCTGGCAACTTTCCAAGCAGAGTTCGACATGCTGCCTCACGAGACAACATTCTGAGCATCTTTAGAATCCCATCCGTGCGCGTGCATACCTTCGCGAAGCTGGCACTGCGCAAGAAGCCGGGAAGCATCGCTAGACTCGATGGGACCCTCGCCAATGCCTGACTTCTTACGTCAAAACCCAAGTCGCCCCTTCCCCATGAATAGAACTTTTTGAGGGGTGTGGAGCCCAAATTGTAGTTTTGGCCTTCTAGATGGAAAAGCTCTAGGCTCTCTAGCAAAGGGAAGCATTGAAGGAGAGTACCAATGTCGCCCATGAAGGAGAAGCCAAACAGAGTGAGGGATCGCAAGGCCGGGAAGGGTTTGGGAGGAATCTGATCCGACTGCCAGAGGACACGCTTGCCAGAAGTAGGGGAAGCGGCCGCCCAGATGGCTAAGTGAAGGACTTCCAGGGTTTTGCACTCCTGGAGCAGGGACAGAATGCTATGCCAGTCCGCCCAAGCTTCCTCATCTTTGTCACCCAGAAAGAGGTAGACCTCCTCTAGCGTTTCTCGGGCAGGGGGAGTAACGGCCTGGAGAATCCCCTGCATTTTGCTAGGGTGCGCCACATTGAGAGCCAGCCGCTTCAACTGGAGCCCCTCCCTCTTATCTCTCATAGATTGCAGGAAGTCCTGCTCAGCATCAGCATTGTCGATCTCCCATTCGAGAATTTCCAAAGCAGGGAGCGCCTCCCAGAACTGCTTGCAGAGCATCCCCAGATGAAACTTCCTCTTCGCTTTCATGACGCCAAACTCGAAGGGGCGCGCTCCAGGATGTTTCTGACCAGGTCCTCGGGCAACCGCTCGAATGGGTTACTGGTGGCGGGCTCCATGCTGGCAGCTGCTCTTAACACAACTAGGTACTTTCGTCTTGGATGAACAGCTCTCAAGTTCTCCGACTTCAAATTTCTTTGAAACAGGATCTTTGTCATTGAACTTTGACGTCAGACTTTGACGGGCTTTTGACAAATTCGAGTCTTGTCGAGCAAGCTAGGCTCTAGATAGCTCCAGCACTGCCAGCAGTATGCAAACGGTCTGCTCAGTCACAGTGTCACAGTGACGACGCGAGCGCTTCGCGGGATCCCTTGAAATTTATTTAGTTTTTGTGGGGTGAAATCCGCTTAGAACTTCCTGGCGCAGCGGCATGGGACCTGATTACGGTAGTCAGCCTGAGGCTGGTGCCAGTGGTGGCAATGTTCATTAATATTGTGCAAGCAATTGGCGCTGTAGCCTGCATAGCCTTGTGGCTTGCAGAATGGAGCCTGCCGGTGTAGATCTGTTTGAGAGGCTGCCTGACGAGCTGGTCAGGAACGTCCTGGACAGAGTTTTGTGGAGCCCTCTCGACTTTGACTCAGTGCGGAAGAAGCGGCACTTGGGAGTGGTGTGCAGGAGATTCAAACGCTTGCTTCCTTCTTTGGAGGGAGTGGACTTAGAAATTAACAATCCTATAGATGAGCAGGGGTTTAGACAAGCCTTAAGCAGAAGGGAGGATGCCGTTGCTTTGAGAAAGTTGGCTCTTCACATACATTCTCCTACAAGTCTGCGGGCCATTCTCCAAGCACTCCTTCCTGCTCCTCTCAATAGCTTAGAGGAGGTCCATCTGTATCTGGACGATGCAGACCCGGCAGACCAGGTAGACTGGCACAGCGTCCTGTCAATTCTCCAGCGATGCCAAAGGCTGACAGTCTTGCACATCAGATTGTGGGAAGCTGCCCAACCAGAGGACCCACCCGTTGACTTCTACTTTGCGAAACCCCTGGAGTCCTTCCCTGTGCTCCAGTCCTTAACCCTCTTTGGATTTACCGTTCCACCAGATTACCTCAAGACCTTCTCGGAGGTGTTTCCAGCTCTTGAAAACCTGGAGCTTCACTATTACGACGAGCCTTTCGCGTACAAGGATCTCCATTTGAGCTCCCTCAAAAAGGCCTACTGGTGGGGGACTATGCAAGAGGGGCTCGACGTTCTGTCCCCCGAAACGGTCACTGTTCCAAGGAGCCTGCGTATGCTGCTGGGCTATCTGCGCAGCGCGGACGCTGAGACGTCCAGCACCAGACTGGAGTGGATCTTGTGCACGCTTGGGAGGATGACCGAGATCGACGGCGCCGCGCGGAAAGCGATCGTGCTAGTGCCACACGGTTTGCGGACGCTGGTAGAGCTCACCACGTGCGGAGGTAGCAGCATACCGATTATAAGGAGACGGATGACCGCGCTGAGGCTGTTGAGCAACCTGGCTGGTTTGCCTGCGAACCGGAGGGCTATTGCGGACGTGCCGGGGTGCCTGGCGCAGCTTAGGGTGTCCTCGGACCATTGGGCGGAAGGCCCCGTTGCTCTCTTACTGCTTGAGAAGCTGACGTTGGAGTTAGAAGTTGCAAGCGTTGTTGGCAGAACACCTGGGATGCTGGGATATCTGTTGTCCGCTTTTGATACAATGGACGGCTTGGATCATTTGGAGTTCATCCTGCTGCATCTGACTGACGTGGCGCAAGTTAGACAAGCTTTGGCCAGGTCTCGGGTGAATCTTAAGAAGCTGGCAGCTTTCCTCAACACTCGGAAGCGCGTCAACCAGCAGATACTGGCTGTGAGGCTGTTGCTGCGGCTCCGCTAGGATGGAGAGAACGGCACGGCCGTGAAAGCCGTCGAAAGATTCTTAGAGGAGCAGTTACCGGTGATGATGCGCAAGGAGCGGCACTCGGGGCAGGCCGCTCTGCAGCTGTTCCAGCGTCTTGTGGAGACGGAGCCTCGGGCAATGGTTGCCCTGCCAAGGTTTCTGGAGGGATTAGTTGGGCAAGTCAGAAGTGCGCTCTCCAGAGGCGCCGCGGGGGAAACTCTGAGTGTGTTGGCGGCTTTGGTGGCCGATGCTGAGGCGTGCAAGGCTCTAGGCGGTATCGATGGGAGTCTCCCGGTACTCGTCAGCGTTTTGAGTAGCGGCGAGAGCTGGGACCAACTGATGGCGGTGACCGTTCTGCTTCAGTTGGTCAAGTTGGGCGGCGAAGCGGAGGCGATCGCTCGCTTGCCTGGCTGCATTACGGGGCTCGTGGGGCTATTGGACTTCCCCGCCTACTGTCGCGACGGGGGCAAGGCAAGCGCGGCCGCTGAGATCCTCCTCTACTTCGCGGAGAAGATTACAGACGCAGCTGCGCTGTCCTCCATCCGGGTGACAATGGCGAGGGAGCCGGCCCTCGTGTCGCGCCTAGTTGCTGCGTTGGACGGAGTGGGGCCCTTGGACGAGAACCTCCCCACGGTGACTCTGAACAGAGCGTCGGTGAACCGACGCTTGGTGTCCGTCCTGACTTGTCTGGCTGAGGCGCCCGAGAACAGAAAGGTAATAGCCGCCGTTCCCGGGTGTCTCGAGAAACTGATGCGGCTGGTAGAGGGGATGCAGCGGATGGGTACGTTTCTGCTGTCGCGATTGATGGAGGACCCGGAGGTGGTAAGGACGTTTGTGCATCTTCCTGGTATAAAGGACCGGTGGGCCAAAGTTCTCAACGAGATCACGGCAAGCGAAGCACAGGTTGGGGCCAGCTCGTTTGGGACGCGCGACCCTTGAGCAGAAGTCCGCCAAGGAAGAAAAGGAATGCGGTGGGGCTGGGGCGCTGGCTGGGGGGTCGAAGCGACAAGACGGACCTTGAACAGCTGTTGGACTGCAGAGGAGGCGCACTAAGGTGGATGGGCGGTTGACCGAAAGCTGCCGGGGACACGAATGGGGCCATAGGCTCAGGTGCGTTCTTTCCTGATGTTGTAGCCTGTTTGTAAATTGGTTCCAGCCATAGGATAGTGGTCGACGGGCAGCCATAGGTGCAACTTTTGCGCCGCCTGCCAGTTGTCATTGTCTCATTGTCACAGCATTTCTGCGATGCTACCGTTGCCTCGCCTTCATCGGGGGTTCCACTTTGAGTTTACTGCATGATTGGACCGTGAGCGAGGTGTTCTCGACACATCGCCCATGCGGGGGTGCTCTTTGGTACTGATTGTCCTCAAGACTGGCAGGCTCTGAATTCAGTGCTGCTGAAAGTTCCTAAATCTGCCCGGTTTAAGAACGGCAAGGGAGCCGATCTACATCCTTGCCAGCGTTGATCCGTTTGATCCTTGCAATTTTAGAAACAGGGTGCTTCCTGTCTGGCTCCAAGTAATAATGTCAAATTCCTGCCTCCAAGTTGAATCGAGCATCTCCTGTTCTCTTTCGGTCGTTGGACCAATCCTGACCACCTTCCGTTTGACAGAGAGTCGGCCAAAGTTCGTTCCAACCTAGCCAAAGATACCTGATCAAGCATCGAAAGACGCATGTTGAAACGCATGCCTTCGCTTGCTGGAATCGTTCAAACTGGAAATGTTCAGACTCTCTTTTTCCTACCAGAGAGCGGAGAGGAGCCGCAGAAGACATCACCGGGGGAACAAAGCAGCTGCGGCGGCCAGTCTAGCGTTACGACGTTGGCACCGGAGGGGGGCAGGCCAGAACGGCACTCTAGAAGTGGACACGTGGCGGACTGGGGCAACAAAGCTCGGGGCGTGGAGGAGAGCCGCTGAACTGGTAGGTGTTCGAGTTAGTTCGTTGTGCTCGAAGGACTTTTCTCAGGTTGAGCTCACGAGCAACGGCTCCGACAAGTTGCGGCTCAGAGCGCGAACAAACTTGGCAAATTGTTGAAAGCTCTGGCAAATTGCGGTTGGACTGGACGAAGGCTCGTCGGAAAAAAGAACGCTCAAAGGCTCGTTCCCTCCTCTTCTCTCTGCCGAAGTCGCTTCTCTCGACCTCTGGGCCTTTGCGGAACTGGCCAGTCAAGTGACGGTTCGCGGGAAAAGGGAAGATCTTGAACTCAGTAGTCTGCTGATGCATCGCTGTCGAGCTGTTTGCTTGGTGAAGAAAGCTATGCGCGTGGCGGACCCAATAAGAAACGCTGAATCGCCAGTCAGGAATAAATTGAATTGCAAACGTGACCAACCAAAATCATTATAACATCACGAGGCATCTTCTTGCGACCTACATCGACGATGGCTATTTTTGTCTGTAAGTGCGCAGCCGCCAAGATCGAAGTCCCTCCTGCCAGCGTCCCTGTACCATTCTGGCGACCACGGACTGGCGCGCCGTGGGAACTGGTCGCCAGAAGCTGTTCTTGGAAGGGCTTGCTTCCTCCGGCGAGATCGTTCAGAGCGACCCACACCGTGAGCAGCCTCAACGGTAAGCATTCATGCAACTGATCTGGTGAGGTTTCCTTGAAGGCTTCCAAAATGAGATCGGGCGAACAAAATAAGCTGGATGACGTGGCCGCTAGTCTAGAAGAGCGATGTCTGCTGACATAATTCGACTTGCTTTCTGACTTTCGCAGAAAAACGGTGAAGAACAGTCTGCGAAATTGCTCCGTGGACCATTCCGACATGCCGGGTTTTGCGGAAGCGTTCGCGGCTGCCATGGCTGGTAGTCAAAGCTGACATTGTCGACTTCTACCACACTGTTTCAGAAGCTGCCGACGTTTTCCCGCCTGCTGGCAGCGCACTTCTCACGCTTCAATTTGTGAACCCGTGTTTTTGTTGCGAGTCACGAAGCTCTTATCGTCAGAATCTTTCATTATGTCAGAAGCGGAACTCACACGGAGCTTCCGGAACAGAGCGGCCCTTTCTGTACGGGAATGGGCGTCCCACTGGAGTCTTGATTGTACCTCTCACATTGAATCGTTTCTTGTCTTGGAAGGTATTCGATCAAAGCTAACAGGCAATGGGCAGTGCATCTTGCGGAGGCCCTCACTGAAGGCTGAGACACGGCCCGAGTTGGAGGAGACACGTGGCAAAGTCCTACGTCACAAGATGGCGCGGAACAAGCAGATTCTGCCGATCTGACTCCTTATCCTTGCTTTTCGCAGCGGTCGTGTCAACATGCAACCCGCGCTGACAGCGAGGCAGCCACGAGTCACACGGGCGGAGTGCCGGCAGCATAGCTGACGTCAGCAGTTACGTCACTCCGAGAGTCCGCGCTGCGGCGGAGGCTTTGAAGCAGGGCCGTGGGTGTGATACGTGTCCGTTTCAGAGGTGCGGTCACGCTTGGATCTGCAACGGGTCAAAGCTGTGTCATCAATGCTTTTGTAGAGATCAGTACCCGCTTTTTCCCGGCCAGCTGTGGCATTTGCGGGTTGCTTATATCGCTCTCCGAGCGAAACAGCTTGTCGTCTGCAACGGTTTCAGTCTCTCCAAAAAGTAATATGCGCGGTCTAGAGAATGCCCGACGGGTTGACGACGCGAGATTGCAACGTTTCAACCGCCCTTACGCTTATAGTGGACCAGATTCTGCCGAGCTTTCTGTCCCTCGAATCCAATCTACCGGGTTCACATGGATCGAGCTTGTTTCCAAACCATACTCCCTTGATTTTGCAGGCTGTGCCGGCAGCTAATTCGGAGCATCTGGACGGCTTGCTGGCTTCGTACTGAGGCTGGTGGTGGTAAGCGTTCTCCCTTAGAAATCCTTCCGGTCACTTTGGATGGGAATCAGACTTCTGGGCATCTGGGCAATCTGTCTTTGTAAGACAAGCAGACTTTTGCGACTCCACAAAATGTCCACCCGTTTTCGGCCAGTAACGAGGCGACCCGCCAGCCTCGTGAGTAGTTTCTTTCCCAGTTTTTTCGTGACACGATTGCTCGGTCAAACAACTTTTGATTCTGGGAGCAGTCCGTCGGGACGCTTGAATCGACTGGCGCTCAAATCATCCGGCGCCGCCCTTCGCCATACCCGAAGTTTAGAGTCCCCGTTGTCTCCGTTGTTTGACAACAGTTTATACGCGAAGGAACACGCAAGCGCTCTTGCATCGCATCGAAGCTGCATCACCACCACTCAAAACTCTCATCTTCTCGCGTCCGCAGGCGATCGTCAGTGCTCTAGGTCCGGGGCCACGTGCACGCCCGCTCCGCCAATGAACTCCCGCAGGAAAGGGACGGGAGACAACGGGATCTGGCTGTGCCAAGAACGGAAGCGGAAGGGCTGAGCACGGAGACGGTCAGCGCCTCAACGAAGCGGAAGGGGCGACAGCGGCAAGGGGAAAACGCACAGAAAAAGGGAGGAAAGCGGAGGAGAAAGCGGAAACGCAAGGGCCCTGCGGACGAACGGGGCTGTAGAAAAGGCGGGAGGGCAGGGAATGGGAGCGGAGGGGTCCCAGGGGAAGGGACAGGGGCCAGTATGTTGGCCCCAGCTATGACTCAGCGTGATGTCCTCAGACTGGTCACTCAAACTGATTTCCCCCTGCTTTCGATCCCCAACCTTTTGCTGAACTTTACACAAGGTGACATTCAATAACATGGGCCGCGTGCTCAATCTAGCCTGCATTTCAAGACCACTAGTGCCGTAATGTCTCATTATGATTCTTATTGGCGGCCCTTTTCTAACAATCGAGCACTTCATGTGAATATATACAGGCTCTGAACCACATTTGATTCCAGGCCGGCCGCGCATATGCACTCAAGCGTTCCACAGCGGTGGCACTGCATAGATGTTCAAAAAAATGGTGCGGGCCCCTGGCCCAACATGCGGATACTGCATGACGTAAGTATAATCAGCGCATTCGATGTTATATAAAACATCGAAAGAAAGCTAGATCGATAGAAAGCCACTTAAGTTGAATCAAAGAGCTGTGAAACCAAGTTGCCACGGTGTGTACGATTTGTTGCGCGCGAACGGAGCTAGCTTGTTTGATTGGAAAGTCCTAGCTACAATCTGATTGTGCGCCTAGGCCCTGTTTAACCAGACTCAGAAAGTTTGAAACAGCTAGACTCACGACTAGGCAATTTGTACATGATTGTTAATTCAAAAAACTGAATTGCCAGGCAGTGCGTGCCTCATGATTAAGGATAGTACATAAATCCAACTTCTTGGCATCACGAGTTTGCCCATTCGATCGCAGCTGAGAACACAGCATCAATGTGTCTCAGTAACCATGCCGAGTGCACCATAACCTGGATCGGCAAGCTCATTCCAAGAGATGTTTAAAGAGATGCAAAGATCTCAGCTGTGCTCGTTATCAAGATTCTTGTCAAGATTTTTCAAGACTAGGAGAGGCCGCTTGTTTACAGGCTTTCTCGCAAGACAGTCATTAGTGAACCCGTGACAGACGGCAGCATGGCGGCCCACTCTATGAAAGCTAGAGAGCCCGCGATCTTAGCATGAATACAGAAACTTTGACTAGCGCTGTACTGAGTATCGCAGACCAAGCCCTTGATAGAGGTGACTCCAAGAGCGGCGCAACCGGCGCCGAAGGAGAGGAGAGTCAGGATCTGCCAAGTGGAAAGAGAAGAATGGTATTGCGGCAAGGGAGTAGTGCCTGAAAATGAGAAAGCACTTTTGCAAAACGGGTTTTGGGGGTCTTTGACTTGAGCAGGTTTACGGGGAGTGCTGCAGATGATGATGAACCTGATCGGCGATGATGCAAGATACAATTGATTGTGACCAGAACCTTGGATGGATCAGTGAGTTATAGACTCGAAACTGACCTTGTGAAGAGGTCACTACACACAAGAAAGTATTTCCCGCATTCGAGCCGCTAGGTAGAAAGATTCTGTCCAGCTGAAGTAGCTGCTGATGGCTTCTAAAGATCCCGAAGAATCTGCGTCTTTTTCTGGTCGGCCAACTTGCAAACCATGGTGCTCGGATGTGAGTGTTGACTGAGGTCACTTCAACGTAAAAAATCCGCTTTGAAGTTGCATTGAACGTGATGAAGGAGCCTGCGACTGGCAAGGAGGTCAAACTATACTGCTCAGCGTTGATAACGTCAATGTGAGATAAGGCACTGCGCACGATCAAAGCGCGGCGAAAGTCAATTGCAAAAATGAAGGCCATCAAGTAAACAGCACCGAAGTCCTATTCCTGTGCAAGTGACATGTGAGCTTACGAGCAGATTGAGAGAAGACATAATTAGTCTTAAGCAGTTAGTCTTAAGCAGTCAATCGTAAATGACCAAAGAACAGCATGTTGAAGCTCGAGTGGCCTGCCAGACGCTCAGAAGCTTTTCTGTTTTTACAAGGGTGGTTATCAGGAAGGGAACACCTTTTTCGCAGCACCCACAAGTCACACCAACGACCTGCTGATCATACAACTTTTTCCAAGCCCACAGCTTTCCTGCGCGGATTTGAGGCATGGACTGAGATGAAAGTGATCAAGGAAGCGGCCCATATTGTCGAGTTCCTCAAGGCCTGTACTTCACCAGTTGCAATATGCATCTGGAGCTTCCTGACCGCACCAAACACACATCCGACCCAGTCTTCATACCATTCTACCAAAGGCTTTTAGAAAGGACTCTTGAGAAGTGGGCTCCCTCTTGTCAGAGAAAAGTAATATTGACACTTGTCACTTACCGCATCAATCGTGAGCCAGACCCACGTCTTCCACCGGAAGGCTAGCGCCCTGCCCGTCATCAGCTCCACCGCATCAAGCGCAACCAAGACCAGGGCCCAGCACGCAATCACTACCATAGTGCCCACCAAAAAACTGAACGGCACGTAGTCACTAAACTGGATCGTGGGCGAAAGCTCCGTGAACCCCGTATGGAATGTGAACGTCTGCTTGCTCGCTGCCATTGTTGAGAAGGCAATCAGCGCGATTAGGAAGTGGGCAAAGCGCAGGAGGAGCGAGAATAGAACGTCGCGGCGGGAGCGGAGTTCAGGGGTGTAAGCATATGCCGCTGGCGCAGGGGTTTCCATGGCTAATGGGGGTGGTGCGGGTCTGCTGGGCTGTGACGAGGAGACGGGGCGGCTGGAAGAGCTGGTGCCAAAGCGGGCGGCGGGGTTGGGGGCGGGGGGTTTTGCGGGCTTGGACTTGAAGGGGGAGAGGAGCTTGAGCCGATCCATCTTTGGAGTTTCCTGAGATTATACTGCTTGGGTTCTCCCTTACAAACAAGCAGAGCACTGCTAACTTCTGTAAATGCCCAGGACAAGTTGGCCGTTCTTGCCTTAGAGACGTTGCCTCAAGCGCTTCTGTTTTCAGAGTAAGGATCAGGCGCGTTCACCCCAACTCACCCAGGCGCAACTTGCTAGCGCTGCGGCTTCTTGCCTCTCTCGTGAAGCACAGAACTTAAGACACGGGTTTGTGCTTCACAAAGCAAAAAGAGCACCTAGCTTATAAAGGTCCTTTTAACCAGGTGCCTAGTAGAAAGACCACTGGCACAGGCGCGCAGATATGAGGCGGAGATGCTGAGCAGCATCAGGGAACGCAGAAGAGAAGCCCGGGAGTCAGGAAGCCCTTCCAACCACTTCCAACTCCTAGAAGTAGGCTAGAACCGACAGATTATCGCGGCCGCGGTGCGCACACTCTGGCGCACGAAAACTTCGAAATTCAGAGGTTTGTATTTGAAAGCGCGGGAACGTTTCCTCTGCATGATACTAAGGCTTTCCAAGCGGAGCGATCAGAGAAGCTCTGTACCGGCCTCTCTAAAGTGGTTTTGAAAATGCCCGGGAGAATAAAAAGCCAGCGGGTGAAGGTTCTGAGGAACAGGGACGGTAGAGGATCTCGCGGGAAGACTTCCAACTTTTTCCGCTGAAAATCTGCATAGGTACAGGCTGTTGCAGGCTGCGTGCAGCTACCTATAGGCTACCTATGTAGCGCCAATTGAACAGGTTCTCAATCATCTGTCCACAAATCAAATCTACATTTCAAATTGCTTCATCAAATCTGTCCCCTTTGGCGCCTTCTCACCTGCAAACACCAGCCTCCTTTCCTCTCCAATCGCCCAACCCGCTTCGTCGATCTTCCGCACCCTCTAAGCCCCACCCTCCCATACATCTCTCCAGCCCTTAGCGCCAGCAACCATGTTTGAGGGAAGACTCCTGCAGGGCAGCCTGCTGAAGAAGATTCTGGAGGCTGTGAAGGATCTCGTCTCTGATGCAAATTTCAACTGCAATGAAGGGGGCATCAAGCTCCAGGCAATGGACGGGAGCCACGTGGCTCTCATCTCCATGGAACTGAAATGTGATGGGTTTGACCACTTCAGGTGAGCATTGCTTTAATATATGTTCCTTATATGAATATTCTGGAAGCAATAGATGATTTATTGACTAGTGCATTCATTCAGCGGCAAGAGAATGTTCGATCGAGTGTCCTTTCACCAGACGGCTTTGGTGGTATGCCTAAGGCGTTCTTCAGTGAACTCAGAGATCAACAGAGATTCTCAGCAACAAGCTCCATCAATCATCTAATGGCTGTTGAGTACTTTCAAGCGCGCACATGTCTGTTAGCTCTGCCAACGGACTGAGAAAACCCAGTGCTTCTTTGACAGCTGGCATGCCTATCTTCTGCATGTGGGCAGCCATCTTATCTGGCCAAGCCTCTTTCGCATTCGAGTCCCAAGCAGCTTTGAGCTTAGCCGTTGCCACAGTTGCTCTTTGGCTTCAAGTCAATGTGGGATTGACAGCTTAAGAGCAGAGAAGCACCGTGGGTCTGACTGATGCAACCCAAGTTGCCAAATCTCTTTGCCACAAAAGTGAATGAAGAAAAGGACCTTTGTTGGATTCAATACCTTTGGGTCAGTGCAATTGGACAAAGAGAAGTTCTTCTGATTCCTCACTTTCCTTCTCCACAGTCCAACAAAGAAACTCTCATGAAACTCTGTCAAGCAACAAGGAAAGAGTCTTTTCAGCAGACACCTGTGGGGATCAGCTTGGAAGTCACTCATATCCACACAACAAGACTCATCTTTCAAATGACTGATATTCTGTGGGTCTGGACATTACAGATGCGATCGGAACCTGGTCCTGGGCATCAACATCAACAACATGTCTAAGATGCTCAAGTGCGCGGGCAACGATGACATCATCACGCTTAAAGCAGAGGACGAGGCTGACATCATCACATTCATGTTTGAGAGCCCTGGTAAGTTTATGTTACTCGGCCCTTGCAGTGCTGTTAGCTCGAATTGGGGTCCTGGTTCGGGCAATAACTTATCAACCAAACGAAAGGAAAGTAGGTTCGTGGAGAAGAAAGCGCAAAATAAACAATCACTGTCCAAATGCTCTTTCCTGCCACTGGGCCAGCCTTTTCTGGCTGGGGAAACTGTTTCAGATCCATGGAAGTCTGCTTGCAAGTGGTCTGGGAAGACTGCCCGCTTGGGTTGGCCGAGAAGCTCAGATTGCCCACGAGAAACATGCTGTTAAGCAGCAAAGCAGTGTCATCCATTCTGTAGGTGAGCGGGCCCCTATTCACAAAAGGTTGCTCACTTTTCAAAGAACAGGTCTGGCATGTCAGACAAGAGCACACGAGAAGTCCGACCTCAAGATTGTCCTTGATGTTTCTGAAAAGTCGATCAACTGTGCAGAGAATGAGAATTCTTCTTGCTCCTTATTCACCTGAATTGGGACAAGCTTTCAATCGAATCTGCTTCAGAAAAGAACTGGATCGACTGATACTGTGTCCCAAGAAGGACACAATGCCCATGAAGAGTCACCACTGACAAGAAAGGCAGAGTGCTTTTCTTTCTATCACCAGGGTATACCACCAGCTGCATGATCCTCAGAATGTCTCTGTATATCCCAAAAGCATTTTAGTGGGCACTCTCTTACAAAACTTGAATCTGGGGTGAGATAAAGCTTTGTGGCAGAGGCATCGGAGTCCAACGCTCCGCAGCCTCTCTGAATCGAGGTCAAAGGGAGTTGTTCACTTTCAAGCGGGACTGGAGACACCTTCTGATGTGGACAGCTGTCATCCATCACAAGCTGGTATAATCATATCCATCAGGTTGACAAGTGTTTGCCTTTGACCCCTCTGCAGACCAAGAAAAGGTGGCAGACTTTGAGATGAAGCTGATGGACATTGATGCCGAGGAGCTGGGCATCCCCGAGACCGAGTACGAAGCCATGGTCACGATGCCTTCTTCAGAGTTCCAACGGATCTGCAGGGATCTGGCCAGCATTGGAGACACAGGTGCGCACCTGCATACTCCTTCTTTCCCCCTGCTTCCTGTTTTGTTACCAACCGTTTTTCGAACCGATCCCTGAGACCCTGCCCAATCTTAGGGGACTTGGCAACGACTCGAGCGTGCTGTTCTGGACTCTGCTTTGAGCTCTCGGGTTGATTGCCCCTCCATCTTCGTACTAGTCAAGTTGTGGGTTCTTCTTGGGCATATGAATAGAGTCGAAGAGGGTACACTTTTTCCACTTATGCAGATTACCCTTTCTATGTTGCTCCTCGTTGTCGACATTCGCACTGCTGAGACTGTGGATTGCTTTCCTCGAATTTCCAGGTGGGCAGGTGCAAAGACTGGTGGAAAGACTGCTGGAAAGACTGGAAACGTGACGTAGTACTTTCTTCCTCCTGACACCTTTTCTACAACTGCAGTGGTTATCGGGGTAACCAAGGAGGGAATCAGCTTCTCGACCGGGGGCGACATTGGGAAGGCGAACGTCGTCTGCAGACAAAGCAGCAGTGTTGAGAAGGTGAGTTGGTCGCGATCGCCGTACCAGTACGTATTTCCTCCTCGCCAGCTTTCTATGTACTGCAGGGACCTTTTCTGGTGCGTCCGAGAGTTCTGTTCTTTGTCCTGCGTTCTTGAGGGATGAGCGGAGCTGCCGGTTATCGAAGTGCCTGAGTCTTCATCCAGTAATCCTTTTCTGTCTCTCCTGCAATTTGAGCAAGTTGCAGAGACGAGCGTGCGACATGCACAACTCCTCGGTGGTCACATCACATACTTGCTACTCACGTTCATCTTCCAGCTCAGGGACTCAACTTTGCCGTTCTTTTTCGCAGGAAGAGGACCAGGTGTTGGTCAACCTCAACAACCCTGTCTCCCTAACCTTTGCCCTCCGATACCTTAATAACTTCACAAAAGCTACGTCGCTTTCACCCACGGTTAGGTTAAGCCTCTCAAAAGACCTGCCCATCACGGTAGAGTACGAGATCGAGAAGCTAGGCCACCTTCGATTCTATCTGGCGCCTAAGATCGAGGAGGACGAGGGGCTCGAGGAGGTTGGGGAGAACTAGAAAGACTCGAAACGCTGTACAGAAATGGATCATGTGACGTCTTGCTTTGAGGTAGCTTTTGTATGCGCACAGACATCAACTTTTTTCTTATTGCGCCATGTTTGGCCAGTCGCTTCGGCTTGTCGCGCAGCTTCATGCATGTAATCGCACGTTCTCAACTCACGGTGTGACGGTGGCAGCTGTGCTTAAGAGGTCGGACACGCATGCCTATTCATGCATGCCTGAGAAGGGCAGATTTTCCATGTAATACAAAGCTAGTACGTATTCATATTGACGGTCTGGGCAGGCTCTTGATTTCCCACGACCTCGAACATCTTGAGCGCTTCCATGACAACCAAGCCAGAAAAGGGGATCATCGAGGTCACGCGCATGTCACTCTATTCAACCGTAATTGAACGATTGATCGGAAGCAGACATCCGGACTGGACCCGTATTGGCACCGATATCTAGAGGCGGCCTGTAGGATACGGATATGGCCTGTCGTATATAGGCGGCGCGCGCCGGCTCCAGTATACTAAGGCCAATTCTTATTTACAAAGGATTCTTTTATATACGGCCTTTAAACTATGATTGAGTCCGCGGATGAATCTATAAACGAAGGAAACGTACGCGTGATACATGTGCAATTACAGTGACGGTGCATGATATCTTTGCTCATATATGCGCATGCCATGGCCTAGATGTACCTTAACATTCGAACACCACAAGTCATTACAATGTACCAACGTTTCAGGGATATCATTCCGTCCAAGCTTCACACCACACGCGCAATCATGCGACGTACAGTCTCTTCTGGTCAACTTAAAGCATCAATAAGTCGATCATGAGAGTTGCTAGCGTCGATCAAATGCCCTTCGCTCCAGAGCCTTGACCAGACACCGGCATAATCTTAGTAAATGACATTTCATTTGGGGTTTCCTAATAATCGAGGCTCTGAACTTCTCTGTTGCAAGAATGATCTCGTGAGAAATCCCTGTCTCGTACTGGGAATGTCCCGCATTTGGGACCACCCTCAGCTCCATCTCCGGCCACGCCGAATGAAGATCGAAGGCTGTCTGCAAGACCAGAAGTAAAAGACCTTGTCTCTTACGTTCAGTATGTAATCGGCCCGAACTCCAAGAATGAATTTCCAGTCGTATTTGCGAGGTTGAAGGCCTCCACTTACGGACGTGAATCAGGTGGCTCTTGACAAGAGTCGTCGACGAGTGCAATAGAAGAGGCCGTTGTGCATCCGACAAAAAGGCTGTGGTACACCCTCCACGATCTTCTGAAAACGTGTTTCGTCCGGTATTTCCTTCCAGTCGACACAAAGAGAGGACAAGACCGAGTCGGAAGAGGACGTCTCAAAAGTGACTCAGTGCAGCCGTGGCTAAGGAACGCTATGAAAACAGTACAGGGCACAAAGCCTACATTCCGGATGCTTACCTTGAGCGGGCACACGAAGTCGTATCGCCCCTGTACTGCAACCGTGGGTATGCTGCGTATCGTGTTCACGCCCCTCAGAAGTTGCTCTTCCGACAAAAAGGCCCCATTCATCTGGAATCAGGAAACGTACTCTTCATCAGGGAACTATTGACCAATTGGACCCTTCAGCAGCTTTCGCGAACACCTCAAATCCAGCCACGGAGATGACTGAAAATAGTAAGTTTCAGGTCAGAGCCAGCAGCGCATTCGTACGCTCATAAGAAAGCTGCAACCAATTGACTGGAAGACTGGGAGACCCGTAGATTAAACTCCGTCTGCGTTTACGTCAACACTGCGCTCTCGCTTTGACGTCCCCCAAAACCTCCGGGTGTCTCCCTGTTTGCGCATGCGGCGAAGTAGGTCATGCACATACTGATGTCATTTTGAAGCATCGCAGTCACAGTACAACCTTTTAGGAACATACAGAAGCTCGTGCTGGGCGACATTTATTTTATTCTATTTTTTACATTATTATGTTGACGGCCAAGAAGGATAGCACGAGGAAATGCAAAGTGTTAGAACTTGACTGCAGACTCAGCTTCGGCGCCTCAAAGGCGGTCAACAGACTCGGGAAAGAAATTAAAGCAGACGTCAAGCCGACGTCTTCACAGGAACCAGGTCCCTTCACGTGATGTCGTCGTATGCAGTTCCTCTCATGTTGTTGCTGTTTGGTGGACAGGTTCCTCATGTCCCTTCCTGACAATTTCACCACTGCTTTTCCTAAGGCCAAAGTTCGAGACACTTCAAACCAAGGCAAGAACAAGGAGGGCAATGATTGTAAGCCGCGCTCACCGAGTAGTGACTTTCGAGTCGCGCTTGTGCCAGGCTCGACGACATCCAGTCCCCGCCGCGCATGTTCTCCGCACTCGGCCGGTACTCCGCCACGTGTCCATTACCCGCTTCCGTAGTCGCCTCGTCAGCCCCCCTGGTCGTACTTTTACCAGCGCCCTGCTTTTTCGCCCCCCCGTTTCCGCCTGGAGATTCTTTCCGTTCAACCGCGTCACTACCCGGTTTCTCCGCGGATTGTGACGCAATGACAGCATGGCTGGTCCCGTTGCTCGAGGACGTACTCGCCTCCCCGGAGGAAGATTGCCGCTCCGACTTATCCTCCTTTTCGACCCCTCGGTTGTTATCCGAAGCACCTGTGGTCCCTTCGACTGCTTCCGTTAACCCGTTCCTAACCTCCGCCGTAACCGCTGTCCCGGCCGAGTCGCTTGCGCCTGACGAAGGCTCAGGTTTGGTATTCGTCCCGTCGCTAACCCCCGAACTAACCGTGCTCGTTGCTTCCTTAACTCCAGCCTCAGTCTCGACTTTACCCGCTGAAGTGGCTGAGCCGTTCGAGCTTGGAGAAGGGTCGGATTTCGCATTCACCCCGCTGGTAACCGCTGGACTTGCAACCGGGTTAGAGGGCGTTGCAACGGAAGCTGGGGCGGGGGCGGGGTCTGTGGGGGATGCTGCCGCCTGCATCGGAGCGGATTGAATCTATCTTTTATCTGGCTTGACGTGCACACTGTAGGGAATACTGCATGATACCCCTCAGCTCAGGTGGCAGCATGCAGCGCACTCGAAAATTTGACTACTAAGTGTTGGCAGTCTGCGGTGCGCGGAAAAGCTATTAGAGTGAAAAGTGTACGCGACCGCGCCCGGGTAGATTTTTTGGCTGTGAGCCCGTAGAGTTCACCGCATCGAAGGCACTGTTCAACAACCCGTGATTGACTTTTGCGTCAGAAACGTGGCACCAACGACGCTTAACCCGGTGTGACGGCCGAAAAATGGCAATTGCTAGCCTGCACCTACGACAACAGCGATATTTTACGTCTTCTCTGAGCATGGCATTGTATCGCTGTAAGCAGCTCCTCAGAGTACAATACGAGAAGCTCAAGCACATCTCTTACGCCGCAACCACTGAAAGGAAGTCGAGAGATGAGACGGCCGAGCCTTCGAAAAAAAACTCTGTAAGCGGAGCGATGCAATCAAAACGAGGAACAGCGAAACGTCGAACATACGCTCGAAAAGTTCATAACGTGCGTCCGGAAGTCTTGCAAGAGCAGAGAGGCTCTACAATGCGCTCACAACGGGCATTAGCAGCATCTTGTGGTCTTTGCGTCCAGGCTATGTCGACTCAAATGCAGGCTATGACGTCTCATAAGCAGGCTATGCCGACTTACATGCAGGCTCATAAGCGCCTGCAGATCTGCGCCCGTTACAGGAACACAGGGGCTCATGAGTGTGCTCACCACGGGCATTGGCAGCACCTTGTAGTCCTTGCCATTCCAAGCTACAACAACTCACATGCGCCTCAAAATATGCGCCCAGATATCTGGCAAAAGAGGAGCGCGCGAGCGTTCTTACCACGGGTATTGGCAGCATCTTGTAGTCTTTGCCGTCCCAGGCAATGACGACCGGCACGTTCGAGAAGGACAGCAGGCTGAACTCCCACCGCAACCACGACCGCGCCTGCATGCATTTGCGAATCAAGCTGAAAGACTCGCTTTCTGATATTCTCACAGTGCAGAAAAAATGTAGAGTCGACTGATGCATTGGATAACAGCTCTGAAGCCACCTCTACAAACAAGGGACAGTTCGTGTCATCTGTCATCCATTGTAACGCCCTTTCAATACTTGCGAGGTGGAGGCGTTGGAGACATCGTTCCAATCAGCCGAGTGTGCTCGCGGTAACGAGGGCACAGAACGCCAGCACAGGCAGCGAATAGATGTGAAAAATGTTTACAATGCCGCCTTGAGACAGAAACTATGTCAGACGGTAGTGCCTGATTCTGACAGGTTTTCAGCCGTGATCAATCTGTATCGTTGACCAACATCGTTGCTAAAGTTGCAACGGTTTAGGCCTTTACAAGTGGGTCAGATTGTCCTACAGGAATCGATCCTGCCTCAGAGATGTTGCCTTTCCGGAGACCCAGAATGAAGCAGCTTTTCTGCTTTCGGAGACTCCCTCCCAAAAGCCTTTCTTTTAAAAGTCCTTGTCTTCATCTTCGTCGCACCCTCTCTTCGCTGACCTATTCACCTTCCAAACGGACGTTATTTTTATCCATAATACTCTCTTGATTGAATCATGCAACGGGGATCTCGTCGCTGCAAACTCACCGCAGCCTCGGCGACCTGCCGATCGTCTGACGTCAGCCGTCGGTAGTACGCGCCAAGCAGATTATCCCGCTCCGCCTCCGGGATGTGTGCGACGTAATCCTTCCAGGCAAACGGGAACAGCGCATCCGCTCCCTGTACACATCGTCGATGACGTCAGCCGGGCGTAGACACGTTCAACAAGGGTTATCGAGAGGGCAAGCACCGTCTCCGTTGTTCGAAGTATGTCAAGGACTACTCGATGGAGCCGCGCCCCTTCAAGAGATTCGTCGATTTGGGTTGCTTATGAGGAGCATCAAGCAACGGCAATCAAAGTGTGGCTATCGATCAACTGCAGCGCGCGGGAAAGCCATTTTTGCGACTTCTCCATCCATCTTGAACTCTGACGAACGGTGTTAAGCCCCCGTTCTCAAATCAGAGCCTTTGCCGACTTGCTTGTCGCCCTTGTCAGTGTCCCCTTGACCTGTTTACAGCTTTGAGCTTGGACTTGAGAAGTTTAATGGTGTTCTCAAACGAGAAGACGTACCGAAGGCACATCGCACAGATTGCTAGTGCAAGTAAACGAGGGAAATGCTCAGGGACACACTAAACAGCCCGGCTGACGGCTTCGAACGCTGACCTGTTTGTAGAACCAGTCAATTTCCCGCTTCCGCATCATGCACACCGCTCGTAACACCATCGCAGAGACGCGCTCCGGGTGCGTCTGGGCGTAGGCCAGCGCGAGGGTGGTTCCCCAAGAACCGCCTACGACGAGCCACCTGCGGGGTTCAGTTGCGGGTTAGTGGCAGAATTATCATCGGGGTTTAAAGCACACGGTTCGTAGGCGAGCGCAAGGGTGGTTTCTCAAGAACCGCCCACGACCAGCCACCTGCAGAAAAACACAGGGGTTTAGCTGCGGGTTGGTGGTAGGGTTATCATTGGGTTAGCGGTGGGGATAGGCCAGCGCCAGGGTGGTTCTCCAAGAACCGCCCACGACCAGCCACCTGTAGATAAACACAGGGGTTTAGCTGCGGGTTAAAGGAAGGGTTAGCATCGAGGTTTCGATGCCAGCTCGAAGCGACCAAGGGAAACGGGCTTGTGGACAAGTCGACACACAGACTCAACATTTCAGGTGCAGCGTCGATTCCATTCCCAACGAGCTCTAAAGGGTTGACAAACGGCACAAGATGCGCAAATGCTTTACCCTGGTCAAGTTATGGTTCGAGAACTGCGTTGCAATGATTGTGAGAAAGTAGTGGATGGAAATAAGATGAGGAGATTTGATTGCTGCAAAGGCCTTCCAAGATCAAAAACGCTCTCGCTTGAACCCAAGCTCGTGCACAAAGCTTTCAAAGCTGGTCCAAAAACGGACGTTATATCCAAAGTGGGGGACAAGAGCGAGTCAACGTCCGAGCCCCTCGAAAAACCTCAAAAAGCAATCCACACATGGGGTGGGTTTCTTGAAACAAAGACGACAGAGTACTAAGCTGTCAACAAGCATCTCCGAAGCTGGTCTTACTTCTCAATGTCCAGCTCCTTCCGCAACTTCTCGAGATCCTCTACGAGTTCCCACGTGTTGTTCTCTTCCAAGCAGCCCCGGGGAGTCGACTTTCCGCACCCCCTTTGGTCGAAGAGGACAATTCGGTAGTGTTCCGGGTCAAAGAATCGGCTGCAGAAGAGCAATCGGAGTGACGATCACTCGTCAGGGCGAGCATCTAATGTGCAGTTACCCTTACGAGTGATGATATGAGAATAGGAGTTGCTGCACATTGTTGGTCAAATAGGAGGAGCCAGGTGCGGGTCGTAATGGGAAAAGCACCGCTGAACAAGCAGTTGAAGTAAGAACGGTTTCAAACCGTTCTGATACGCGAGAAGGGGTGCGTCCGAGGCTTGAGATCGTTGCACGATAACTAAACATTCGGATGTTTTGAAAAGCCTCCGAGGCTACAAAGCAACGAATTGATGGCAGTACCGGTGAATCAAGCGCTGCGGTGACGTCAACACCTCCATTCGTACTGCAGCCTTTTTGAAATAGCAAGAGGCAGCTTTACAGCTCTGAGACAGCCCGGAAGCAGACAAAAAATCCACTTTGCCCAACAAGTTTGCAGAATACGGGTTTCATGTGGTACCTTACAAAACAAGTTCCTTCATTGGACCAAGGCTTACGGTCCCCACCTCTTGCCTTCCATTCACGAATGGCTCATCTGCATCGTAGCACCTTTACCTGATCACTGCACAAAGTCTACCTATTCTGTTTTTAAGCTGCACACTGATCTACCATGAGAAGCTCCATGAAACCTACCTGTGGTTTGCGGTACAACCGGCCCCAGGGCCCCCATGGAGAACTGCAGTGAGCATGGAAAGGAAAAATCGGAAACTTTCGCAAAACAGATTTTTCTCTTTGATGCACATCCATCATGTCGAAACTCCACAATAGACTGTCACCTGAAAGACGAACCTCACCAATGTTCAGATTCGTTCACACAGCATACTAGGGCCTGCCCTTCCAAACAAGGTCCAATCAAGATCAACCAGTTGCTGATGCGTGGTTGCTAAATGGTTTTGTATCTAGCTATTCGGGAGACAGGGAAGCTAGGACTCCGAGATCGAAGGCTTCTTCTGTTTCGATTTGGAGGAATGACAACCTTCCCCAAACTTCCACAAGCTTCCTTCGTGACAAGTGGTTCATGTCTGATTGAAAGCAAGTCGGTCCATATTGTCCTGGAACCTCCTTGCAAGGCAACAGCTCGGAAACTAAGAACAACCTGAAATCAGATTCTAAACCAAATGAGAGAGTGAAGTCCCCATAAGACAAGCGATGAGAAGCCCTTGAGGCAAACACCGATAAACGGGCTTGACTCACACACAGCTGGTCTTCCTTTGGGGTTGCCAAAGACCTCGTAGTAGATGGTATGCAGATTGGAAACTTTCAGATGACCCTGTTTGTGTGACTTGCTTGACGAATAGAGGGTTCGAAGGGTCTCCGTCGATGTCTCAACAGCTGCAAGAAGCAATCAGCTGTTATCGATTCAACGGAATCGCGCCATAGCTTTCTAAGCCTGTTACGATCAGAATTTGCTTTATGAGGAGGTTGAGGTGTTTAACTTAAGGGACAAACCAACTGGCGCGAGCAAACCACAGAACGCTAAGTCAAGCAAGTACTTCTTGCACCTTTCCTCAGAAAGGGCAACTTACAGAAGGAAGCCGGTGTGTACATCAAAGTTATGCTTTTACAAACAAAATGAGGTGTACAGGCGAGCATGACCAATCTGAAGTCAGCGGGTATGTTAAGCAAGCTATACTGGCAGTTGTGCTGAGAGAGGGCACTGATTCAGAGAAGGAGCCTCCTTCACAAATTAAAACTCTCGTTTTTTGTGAAAGACTGAGGTCTTTTATGAAAGACTGAGGTGTTTGAGCAAACATGACCCATCTGACGTCAGGGAACCACAGAACAATAGGCTAAATGGAGGTTGCAGCTTGTCTCGGAAAGGGCATCTGGGACAAAAAGGCCTCCCTTTGAGATGAAGCATCCCCATGCAATACTTACTCCGCAGAAATAAGGGGCGCCACCAGCAAAGCACGTCTGATTGTGAGCTACCATCAACACTACAACGTCACAAGGGTATTGCAAGGACTAGGACTTACCTGGCGGGCTCTTTGAGAAAGCTCTAATCGTCTTTCTTCTCATCCGAGCGGAAGCCTCTACGCCCTTGGACAGGACTCCTCCCCCTAAGAACATACTTTTCAAGCATGGTTGAGAAGCATGGCCCTGCTTCTGTGTATTCCCAATGGTAAAAGCGCGGACTCTACGAGCGTGTGACGAAGTGGCTGCCTGGCCAGTACCAGAGGAAATCCTTGGAAGACAAAGGGAACATGTCTCCAGCGCCGACTCCTTGGACAAAGTGCGTTGGCTTGCATCCTTGCCAAATCCAGCCTGCCCGATGGACGCATGCAGCGACTGCACGCTTTGCATCTTGTCAGAGGTTGTTGAAAGCGCAGAAAGGAGCGCCTGTGCAAAGAAGGCTGAACCTTTGGCAAAGAAATGTTGATCTGCACGCACCTAATAGCCTTAGGCTTTCCCTCTCCCCCAGATCTACGCGAGATGCACAGCTTTACTGTTAGGGTACCGTCACTTTGAAGTGGCAGCGGGGTAGGTATTCTGATT